TCGAGGGAGAGGCATATCAGTACACGGTTCTCCCATTCGGCTTAGCTCTGTCTCCTCGCGTCTTTACGAAGATTGTCGAGGCAGCCCTTGTTCCCCTTCGCGAACATGGGGTTTGCATCCTGAACTACCTCGACGATTGGCTTATCCTGGCACACTCTCGAGAGCAGGTTTGCGAACACAGAGAACTTGTGCTACAGCACCTAGGCCGTCTGGGCCTTCGGGTCAATCGGGAGAAGAGCTAACTTTGCCCCGTGCAAAGGATCTCTTTTCTCGGAATGGAGATAGACTCGGTCACCATGCCCGCGCAGCTCACGAGCAAGCGCGCGCACTCACTGCTGACTTGTCTTTGACAGTTTAAGGGCAAGAGCACGGTCCATCTGAAACTCTTTCAGAGGCTCCTGGGGCATATGGCATCCGCAGCTGCGGCGACGCCACTCAGATTGCTTCATATGAGACCGCTTCAGCTGTGGCTTCGCGATCGAGTCCCGAGGTGGGCATGGCATCGCGGCTCGCTCAGAGTCCCAGTGACTCCAAACTGCTGTCAGACCTTCTTCCCGTGGTCGAACCTCAGCTTTTTACGGGCCGGGGTCCCTCTTTGCGAGGTTCCAGGCATGTCGTTGTCTCCACGGATGCCTCTACCATGGGTTGGGGAGCCGTGTGCAATGGGCATGCAGCCGCGGGTTCCTGGACAGGACCCCAGCACCTCATGCACATCAATTGCCTCAAGCTGCTGGCAGTACGCCTGGCACTGCACCGCTTTCGAGCACTGCTCTGGGGGGTCAACACGTAATTGTCCGTTCGGACAATACCGCTACGGTAGCGTATATCAACCACCAGGGTGGTCTACGCTCACGTCGGATGTTGCAGCTCGCATGCCACCTCCTATTATGGAAACAGAAGCACCTGAGGTCCCTTCGTGCCGTTTACATTCCAGGAGACCGGAACCTGGCAGCGACTCGCAGACGGTCCAGCTGATTTGGGACCAGTTCGGGGAGGCACAGATAGACCTGTTCGCCTCCCGGGACTCATCCCACTGCGCCCTGTTTTACTCCCTGTCCGAGGGCACGCTCGGCACAGATGCCCTGGCGCACAGCTGGCCGCGGGGCCCACGGAAGTATGCGTTTCCCCCAGTGAGCCTTCTTGCACGGATTTTGTGCAAGATCAAGGAGGACGAGGAGCAGGTCTTGTTGGTAGCCCCCTATTGGCCCACCAAGACGTGGTTCTCCAAACTGATGCTCCTCGCGACAGCACCTCCTTGGCCTATCCTCTGAGGAAAGACCTACTCTCTCAGAGACGGGGCACCCTGTGGCACCCTCGTCCCAAGCTCTGGAGGCTACACGTGTGGCTCCTGGATGGGACGAGGCGGGTTTGAGTACGCTGCGGTGGCGGTGACCATCACTTCCGCTAGAGCGTCGTCCACTAGACACCTCTATGCGTTGAAGTGGAACCTCTTCGTCAACTGGTGCTCTTCCCGTGGTGAAGACCCCTGGAGATGTCCAATCGGTGTCGTGCTTTCCTTCCTGCAGGAAGGGCTGGAGCGTAGGCTGTCGCCCTCCACCCTTAAAGTTTACGTCACGGCCATTACCGCGTCTCATGGAGCAGTTGAAGGTGGGAAAGCACGACCTGGTCATCAGGTTCACAGACAGCGCGCGCACCGCTCTTGACCCGCTCGCAACCGGAGTCGTCATCATGGCGGCGCGCATTGTTTAGAGCAGATATAGGTGGATAAACAAGGTTTCCATCTCATCGCGGGTTCAGATACACTGAAATACGTCCACCGCAGACATGTTGCTTCCGACAAGCACGTGCAGGTCGCGGTTTCTGTTTGCGTCATCACAACATTTCGGCTGTATTGTTTCGGTGATAAAAGTCTTTCGGACGAAAACCGAAAATGCACTTTTGGGCCATTTTCGGCCGGAAATTTTCGCCGGCCGAATATTCAGTGCATCCCTAATATATTATAATTCTTCTGTCTCTCTCTTATATAAATCTCAGCGTGCTCTCGCTCTGTAAAGCCTTGTTTATACTCGGCACGTCCGTTCGCTTTCAGTCGTCTCCTCCACCACTCGACATTGTTTGTACCACCCCAAGAAAGGCTACAAAGTCATCCGATTTGCTAGATTACGTCATCGTAACCTTTCCCTGATTGGGCAAGAAAAATATTTCTCCATCGGCAATTTTTCCAGTGGTTGTTGCTCGTGAATCTGCCAAACAACATTGATTTGATTGGCCTTTGACGGTGTGTATACTAGCCGGTTATCCAGTTATTACTGTTTTCAGCGGAATCTGAGGAAGACGGCAAAAAAGACCGCACCTCTCTATCATGAATAACTTTTTGATATTCAAGATATTTGTAAAAGTATGTAATTTTGGGCAGTACTGCCCAATCCGTCCTCAGAGGGTTAAACATGCAGTATCACATTCCCAAAGTCACTATATATATATATATATATATATATATATATATATATGTGTGTGTGTGTGTGTGTGTGTGTTTTCTAGAAAACAACAAACATATTACGAAAAAGAACCAGCTAGTTGAGATCTTCAAAAATCCACTGTTATGCCCACAAACTCTCACCAGTGCAAAAATAACATGCAATAAAATGTAGTTCTCGCTTGGCCAATCTAAATTATATGTTTCTTTTACTTGATTTTTTTTGTAATTGGGCAATTTTAAGTAGAGACAGCACTTTTTAGTCTCTCCCTCTCTTTTGAACTTCAGTTTAGACTTTCTTGAACCCCAAACAAAGTTCATTCCTCAACAATGCAGTCAAAGTGTTTTAAAAGAGCACGTCTCGTCCAATCACGCTGAGCTGTGACAGACACTCCGTGGCCTCCTCGAACCCTTGGCGTGCTCAGTCGAGCAGGCGGTGAAAACATGAGCTCATCCGGCTCTTGGCTTGCTTTCCCAGAAACTAAATGAGAAAGACTCAGACCTCTGGAACGTTCACCTTTTTGCTTTCAGGATGTGGGCAGCACATCTGTTTTTTTTCTTTTCCTTGAATGAATTATTTGGGCGGGCTTTATTTTTTGGGGGGAAGGGACATCAGTTTCCAGATGTTTAGAAATTGGTGAGTTCAATGAGAGGCTGTTAGTAGTAGGCTACACCATCTATTTCACCCCTACTAAATAATTTGAGAATGAAATATTTTTATTGTGCAGTAGTTGACAAATTATACACGATATATAAGTCTGCTTAAAATGGTGGTGTGGACATTCACTTTCTAAAATCATCTGTAAACATATTACTGTCACAGATCTGGCAGGTTCTTGCACCAGCCAATCACAACGCACTCCCTCTCTGGAGTATTAACCACATACACCTGCACACCATCTGCACCCTCATCATCCATTTACTCAGCAAATACAGAACACAGCGTACCCAACCTTCTAACAATGTTTTAACAACATGGCTAAAAGGTTGTTTTAACAAAAAGGCTATAACTACGTTTTGTGGTGAAGGTTGTTACAATTGCTCAGGGCCATTGCTTAAAGTTATGTCGTCCAGTGGTTGTCCAGACACCCCAGGCACATGTACTCGTCACTGCCCTCAAATTTGAATTAGCCCTTTAAATTTTAACCAACCTTTGGGCCGTCTTATTCTTCATTTAGCAAGAATAAATAATATACGCAATTATTCAAACACAACCAACAACTTCCTTGTCTAATGTGACATTTATTTGTTCTGTCTAACTGAAGGGCCAGAATAACGTTAGCTGATAATTCATGGAGTTTGCGATCGTAAATTACAGAAACGTTACCAGTGTATGCAAACGGTATATTTATTGTAGTATTCAGAAATCTTTTAATACTTAACGTTAAGAAAGGTGTTGAACATCTTCTGGTCAGGTAGGCTATGCCAAATAGTTTTACTTTATGCCAAAAGTTATAAGCCGTAATAAAGCCGAAATGACTTTAATGAGTAACTAATTGATGTTTCAGCACTCCTTGAACAGACAGCGACATGAAAGCTTTAGCTTAAAGTTCTGTCAGGAAGACTCAATCAGCGCGTCATGTATTACCTCACTCCCCAGATAGCAATGAGTCAGCGGTCCGCCGGCGGCGCTCCGGAGATAGTAGAAGCGTCATAATGGCGTAATCGCAAACACGTTTAACGGCGCACCGCCGGCGGCAACCGCTTTTTAAAAAGCGGCAGCCGCCGCCGTTCCGCCGCCGCTTTACCGAAGGCTAACCTTCCGCGGTCCGTCGGAGGCAAACGCTATTTTCGAGCCATGACGGGTCGCCGCTTATTATTTATATATATTTATAGTTATTATATAACTGATAAATAAACAAATAAATAAAATGCAGTTTATCAAGAATAATGACCCAGATAGCAAACTGACATTGAATCAACGTGGAAATATGACATCGAAACAACGTTGATCTGACATTGTTTTGCTCATCGAATTAACGTTGAACCAACGTCAGAAGCGTCATTCTTTCAAAACTAACGGAAAATCAACTTGAAATCAACGCGTTGTTTCAACGTTATGAAAGCAAAACAATTTTCGATTTTCATTTAGCTTTGAAGAATGCCGCGTCTGACGTTGGTTCAACGTTAATTCGATGAGCAAAATCAACGTTGTTTCAATGTCATGAGAGACATCGTTTCCACGTTGATTCAATGTCAGTTTGCTGTCTGGGGATTGATCAAAGCAGACAATTTTACATTTGACGTTTTAATTCCACAGTGCAAAGTACAGTAACTGTCATTGAAACATGTCAGATCACCAAAATATAAATAACAAAAGTAATACACACTAAAGAACATGCAATGTACAGTAACTGTCATTGAAACATGTCATTTCACTAAAATATAAATAACAAAATACACACTAAAGGACATGCAATGTACAGTAACTGTCATATTGAAACATGTCATATGACTGAAATATAAATAACAAAATACACACTATAGAATATGCAGGTTTCCAATTAAATTTTAGGTAAAAAAAAATATATATATATATATATATATATAAATAAAAAACAGCCTTAGCCTACAAGCAAATTATAACACTTACAAATATTATTAATACAAAGAGGTCATCTCTGTGATGAAAAGAATTACCAGTAAACATTAGTAGCAAGGATAGTTGGTACCAAAGAATGTGCAGGATACCAAATAAATAAATCGCATTTACAAGCCATTCCTAACAGGATAGGATAAGTGCAAATAAACCACTATAATGGCACTGCTGACCTAGGATACAAGATTTCACTGTGCAATAAGATCTGTGTCTCTTGTATCTGTGATAAACAACTTGACACATACACACACAAAAATTAGAGGTAAAAAGTAGTAGACCTGACCTTTGGCACAATGATTTACAAACTCTATTTAACAATAGAATCAACAAGTTAAGTACTGTGATGGAATGGAAAAAAAGCAAATGTAGTAAGTGGAATATTTTGTACAAGGTAAATGTGCAATATAAAGTTTCAGAGGTATTCACAAGGAAGAAGAAGAAGGAAAAAATAAGTAATTTCCACAGTGAACAGTGTGGATTGTGTGAGTGTTCTAACACTTCTGGCTTCTTTAGGCATCTTGATGTTACTGACTGCAGGATAAAAACAGGGTTCCGTTTATCAGTGATGCTGGGGTGTCAGTAGTCAGCCTAGGTTTAAGGGGTCGGCTGTGGGTCCCTCTCAGCAGTGCGGCGCCTTTTCCCACCTTCACGGTCAGATGCTCCTTTCAGGTAACGCGTAACATTAACCTGGAACGCCTCATCAGTGGCATCCTGGGTCGCCGGGTTCTTCCGGATGGCTCCTGTAGAAAATACAGATCTGTTAATCCATTTGAATGGCATAATGCCATTAACGTCTACTTAAATATATGTGAAAATAAAAAAAAAAAAAAAAAAAATCCAACTTACTTTGAACAATGGTCTTCAGGAAGGTGTCTCTAAAACATGCTTTATCCCCTACACCAGTCCAGGTTGTATTGATGGCAAGGTGATTAGAGAAGATACTCTGAAGCATTCGCCAGACGGTTGTTTTTAGGTCCCTCCCACATTTGATGGCCAAAAACCGAAGCTGCAAATCCCAAAAAAATAAAAATTACAAATTACATTTCTCTGAAGCTTATCATACAAAAATATAAAATGTGACAGGCTGTGGATTCAGACTGTAAAATATGCAGTGTACAATCTTAATTTTACTTTTTAGTTTACTCCATGGAGTTATAAACAGCACACTTACAAAACGATCCTGGAGCTCTTTATCCTGCCTCAAACTGTTATCAAGCAAGGCCAAATCTTCCTGGGTGTCTAGGGGGAGTAACAGATCCCCTGGCAGGGATAACTCTCCAACAGACACATTGGCACTGAAATGTTGCAGCATAGTGTCCATTTTGCTGTCCATGCTACGCACAACATCGCCAAACTCTCCAAGACGTCGCAGCATTAAAGTCTGATCTGCACCTACAGGGGTTCCCATAATAAAATATTATAGTCAGTCCAGGTCCCTCAAATACTAAAACTATGACATTTATATCTAGGTCTACTACATGTGTAGGTGGCCTCAGTGGGAATTAAACCAATAACCACAGGTGTTGTTTGCAAGTTGTACCTGATTGCCCAGTGCGAGCAAACGTCTTCAACATATTCCCAACTTGCTTCACCTGCTCTTGAAGTGAGCCGCTGTCATCCGAAGCTACAAAATGAAAGGCATATGGTAATTTTGGACCTACATCACGTACTCTTAAAGTTTACTTTTTTGTGCATGTTCTCACCTGCTCGTGCATTGCTTTCCCTCAGGGCTTGGATCTCCTCCCTGAGAGCTTGGTTCTCCCCAATAAGGGCTTGGTTCTTATTTTGGAGTCTCTGGAAATCTATATAAAAAAATAAAACAATTAAAAACACCTAAAGGTACTATTTTAAATACTGTTAAAACACTGGACACTAAGACATAGGCCTAGAATATACCTTCATAGCTGAAAACGTCATGCTGTACACGAGTATTGCATATTCAGTAATGAAACTATAATTGAACTGTGCAAAGCTAATGGAATGTACAACACACCTTGACACCTTTCATCCAGAACCTGCTGCGGCGAGAAACCAGTCAAGTGTCCTAATGAAAAACAGATTGTGATTAAAGGATTCCTCATATTAAATACAAACCCAATTCCATAAAAGTTGGGACACTGTACAAATTGTGAATAAAAACAGAATGCAATGATGTGGAAGTTTCAAATTTCAATATTATATTTAGAATACAACATAGATGCCATATCAAATGTTGAAAGTGAGACATTTTGAATTGCCATGCCAAATATTGGCTCCTTTTGGATTTCATGAGAGCTACAAATTCCAAAAAATTTGGGACAGGTAGCAATAAGAGGCCAGAAAAGTTAAATGTACATATAAGGAACGGCTGGAGGACCAATTTGCAACTTATTAGGTCAATTGGCAACATGATTGGGTATAAAAAGAGCCTCTCAGAGTGGCAGTGTCTCTCAGAAGTCAAGATGGGCAGAGGATCACCAATTCCCCCAATGCTGAGGCAAAAAATAGTGGAGCAATATCAGAAAGGAGTTTCTCAGAGAAAAATTGCAAAGAGTTTGAAGTTATCATCATCAACAGTGCATAATATCATCCAAAGATTCAGAGAATCTGGAACAATCTCTGTGCATAAGGGTCAAGGCCGGAAAACCATACTGAATGGCCGTGATCTTCGGGCCCTTAGACGGCACTGCATCACACACAGGAATGCTACTGTAATGGAAATCACAACATGGGCTCAAGAATACTTCCAGAAAACATTGTCAGTGAACACAATCCACCGTGCCATTCACCGTTGCCGGCTAAAGCTCTATAGGTCAAAAAAGAAGCCATATCTAAACGGGAACCAGAAGCGCAGGCGTTTTCTCTGGGCCAAGGCTCATTTAAAGTGGACTCTAGCAAAGTGGAAAACTGTTCTGTGGTCAGACGAATCAAAATTTGAAGTTCTTTTTGGAAAACTGGGACGCCATGTCATCCGGACTAAAGAGGACAAGGACAACCCAAGTTGTTATCAGCGCTCATTTCAGAAGCCTGCATCTCTGATGGTATGGGGTTGCATGAGTGCGTGTGGCATGGGCAGCTTACACATCTGGAAAGGCACCATCAATGCTGAAAGGTATATCCAAGTTCTAGAACAACATATGCTCCCATCCAGACATCGTCTCTTTCAGGGAAGACCTTGTATTTTCCAACAAGACAATGCCAAACCACATACTGCATCAATTACAACATCATGGCTGCGTAGAAGAAGGATCCGGGTACTGAAATGGCCAGCCTGCAGTCCAGATCTTTCACCCATAGAAAACATTTGGCGCATCATAAAGAGGAAGATGCAACAAAGAAGACCTAAGACAGTTGAGCAGCTAGAAGCCTTTATTAGACAAGAATGGGACAACATTCCTATTCCTAAACTTGAGCAACTTGTCTCCTCAGTCCCCAGACGTTTGCAGACTGTTATTAAAAGAAGAGGGGATGCCACACAGTGGTAAAAATGGCCTTGTCCCAACTTTTTTGAGATGTGTTGATGCCATGAAATTTAAAATCAACTTATTTTTCCCTTAAAATTATGCATTTTCTCAGTTTAAACATTTGATATGTCATCTATGTTGTATTCTAAATATAATGTTGAAATTTGAAACTTCCACATCATTGCATTCTGTTTTTATTCATAATTTGTACAGTGTCCCAACTTTTATGGAATTGGGTTTGTAGAAGTAATAGTTTCCAAAACAAACAAACAAACAAAAAAAAAACATCACTTACTTGTACTGAAACTCTTGGCTCTGAGAAGTGGAGTCTGGATTTCAGGGAAGAAACCTGGTTCTGAGAAAGAGGAAACAAAAATGTGAAAATCTAACAAAGGGTATAATTAAGTGGGAGGATCACAAATCAAGCAACTACAGCAATTTTACATACCAGCTCTGAAGCCTACAGATGGCTCAACATTTTCCTGGTTTTCTGGAATCAACGCAACTTCTGGAGCATCGGGCAGCACTGGAGTCTTGTTACCAGGAACTATGTTTTCAAAGCTCAAAAGAGGTTTTCCAAACGACTGCACTGCTGGTGCATCTGGCAGACTAGACTTCTCTTCATCAGAAGAGGCCTGGGGTCTGTACTTGGAATTTGAAATTCTCTTTCTCTTTCCCTTCTTGTCATCATCTGTTTCAACACTGGAACCCGCTTGGAAGCGCACCAAATATCGCATCGCCTCTTGCCAAGATTCTAGAGCAAGGAATAATGCATGAAAGAGTTATCCACCATAAACAGACAAAGAAAATGCACAGATGAAAAGCAGGAAAATCAAATGCACAAGTTAGACCCATTTACCTGCTCCCTTCATAAACTTAAAATTATGTTTCTCCCAGGAGATGTGTGGAGGCGTGCAGCGGATGGCTAAATTGTTGCCTTTATCTTTTTTTGCGGAGGTTAAATGGGGGCCAAAAGCACATGCCCTCGCTGAGCCACACTTGCGGAACCACTGCAAATGGAAGGTCCTCCTCATCAATAAACTGGACAATGGCAAACAGCATCTAAAATAGAAGAAAAATACGAATAAATATGAATAAATTATACATTGATTACCATCCAGGCAAAAGCAATACAATTTCAATTCTCACCCCTTCAAAAAAGCAGTCATTTTTACAAGTGGATCAACAGGAAACCAGCCTTTCCATCTGGGCAAGGAAAAAGATAATATTTCTTCTGCACATTTGCTATGTGCGTAAAGCGGAGTGTGTCTGATAGGCCAGATAAATGAAAAATGCCTATCTTGGAAGATTCCACAGGGTAAGTAAAGAAATCGACCATGTTCCGGAACCTCTTGTAGATGACGAAAGTGTTGTCCATTTCATCAATGACGACATTCTGTATAACAACTATGTCCTTATTTTTCAACAGGACACAGTTGTCTCCCTCTGAACGTTTCACTACAAAGTCTTGAAAGTAACACTCCTCATACTGCTTTTTCACAGAAAGACCGTTGAGGAGTGGCCCATGGTTGTGCTCTCTCAAGGACCTTGTTTTGGAGATGTTTGTTCTGTGCTGACTTCTCTCAGACAATCGGCGAACAACCTGCTCCAGTGGTTGTGTAGGCTTGCGCAACAGTTTCTTCAGATGCCCAAGGAAGTTCTCAAATGGGAAGCATGAGATGTTATCAAGGACTCCATACTTCTTGGCATCTTGGCTGAGGTGCACCAATCCATGCATGTTGTATGTAACATGTTCTTTCCCATAAAGCTTGCTGCAGTGATCAACAAAGAGAACCAATATTCCGTGTGCATAGTCTGCAAGGTCAGCACACAGGGAAACATTCAGTAGGATGGTGATGCCAAATGAAAGCAGCATGAAGTTGTTGTACACTTGAGTTGGTACAAGGCCTTTTAAGCTGACTGGTCCAGCGTACAAGAGGAACTGCCTGAATTCAGTAGCTTTCCAACAATCAACATCTTCCATGGATCGTTGCTTCCTGTTGAACTCGCACGGAACATGAGGTTTGAAGGTCAGGAGTACTCTGGAGAGCTCTTTTACCATGCTGGGTGAAAATCTTGTCAGTCGTGGTCCCTTTAGCCAAAGATGCAACAACTTTCTTGTCACTCCAAGGCATACCAGATGCATATAATCCAGTGGGAACTGGGTGACCAAACCAACAGACAATAATGCTAATGGCGTTTCTCCACAATGATGACTATCATCAGAAAGTTCATCACGGACTGCATGGTCTAATCTTGGAGTAGCATCTGTTCTCGTAGTGGACCCCTTTTTGAACACACTTGTTACACCCATAATATCCATTGTGACCTTTCACATTTCTAACAAGTGCACGAGCAGGGGCGTCACAGATGAATGATGATATTCTGAAAGGAAGTACTCTCCTTTCAAACAGAACTCCTTCCGTTTCAAGTCGCTGTGCCTCTTCTACAAAAGGATTCAAAAAGTGAAGGCTGCTTGGCTTCTTTTTCCCATAATAGAGACCAATGAGAAATGGAAGTTTGTTTTGCTGGACATTACCCACGTATTGCTCAATTAAACCAAGAACTGGCCAGAACTGGGCATTTGAGCTTTTGAAAAGTGGAAGTCCATCAACATTAACTTGCATTGAAACTGACGTTAACTTCTGCAATTGAGGAGACACTAAAAACTGCGATAGTATTCCACTTTCAATTCCAAAGTGATGGTATACGCCACCTGAGAGTTCTGTTGTTTTAACACAAGTCACTGTTTTAAGAAGGGTTCTTGGGTCTTTAGGAAGGGTTGGGTGATCCTTGGACAAAATGGTTAAAGGCTTACCAAGTGCAACATGTGGAATCATGTTGTCAATAGCCCACCCTGCCAACTGTGTCCTTAGGCAATCCTCTTCCTCTTCACTATCTTCTGTGCTTGAGGAAAATATTTCACCAGGTTCATGTACCTCATCAACAGTTATTTCCTGTGCTTCAGAGTTTACAGTTTGTCCATGGCTAGTAGCCATTCCATGTTGATGTTCATTAACAGGAGGATTTACTTGGTCAAATTCAGAAATAGCAGCAAGTACAGCATTGTTTGCTGCTGCAATTTCCTGTTTGTCCCTCTCAACTCCTTTCAATATTCTTCTCCTTTTGGCCCAGTAACTAGACATTGTGACTAACAATGCATTTACCTTTAAAGCCAAAATGATTGTCCAACAGTAGTTCTCTTGAATGAAGATAATCAGTTATGCTCCGGTCAAGGTATCTGCAAGAAAATGTGAACAAAGACACATTGTTAACATTAGGAATATACAATAGCTTGGCTGAACAGGGAAAAAAACTGATCAGAAAAATGTGGAACAGTGAAATTGTTACAAATAAAATTTACTCATTCAGTGTAGTTATTCAAGTGAACACAGCATTGTCCTCCAAAATAAAAAGCACAGCAGTTCAGATAATTATAACTCATCATAATCCCCTTAAATCCTAGAAGTACAGTAGCAACACAGCACATGCTTGCTAACACTTGCTAGCCACTCTAGCTATATGGTGAACTGAACAAGCAGCATACTTTAAATTGTTTTGTTTGTCTTATCAACCTATATACATAATTCTGCTTTGTTAGTAAACACCAAAGGTTATACTCTGTCTTTCTAGATGTAAAGCTTTGGCTACCTACTGTAGCTAGTTACCTTTCTACATGTAACAAAGTAACATTGCTTAATATCAGTGTGTAACTGTAACAAAGGCAAAATAGCATGTGTTAGCCAACACTTGCTAGCCACTCTAGCTACATGGTGAACTGAACAAGCAGCATACTTTTATTAAATTATTTTGTTTGCCTGATCAACCTATATACATCATTCTGCTTTGTTAGTAAACACCAAAAGTTATACTCTGTCTTTCAAATAAAAAAATAAAAAAATCGAGTTTGGGAAAAAATTAAAGACATAAACGAAATTTCCTGAAAAGTCAGAGAGACAAAATATTTCTAAATATTTCACAAATCTGCCAGCGCAGCTGTGAAACCATAGGAGATTTTAGCTTTTTGTTTGAGTTTATCCTTCAGCTCAAAACAGAGATTTTCATGTTAAGATATTATCATGGTTGTAAATTAAAAATATATAAAGTAGACCTACCCAATATTTTGGCCATATGTTGCAGATGTCTTTCACTGGTAAAAAAAATAACAACTAATATTTGATATAATTCACATGCTATTATGATTTTATAATTGCTTCAAATGTGAAAAGTAGTAAAAATGCTGTCAGTTCCACTTCCATTCTAACTCCCAACATGCCAAACATGAGTGAGTAGAAATTCTTGTATTTAAACGCGTCTTGCCGCCAGCCGGCCGCGGTCCATTAGACGGAGGCAACCACCAGAGAAAATGAAGCAGTCGGCCCGCTGGCTATTTGCCGGCGGCATCTCGCAAGAAATGGGAGTGACGTATTCGGCGGCAAACGTTTCTTCTCCGCCAGCGGGACGCACCTATAGCCGAAAGCTCGGGGCCGGCGGCAAAAAGAAGCCGTGCGGATATTTTTTGCTATCTGGGTCCTATCACCACCACCAGGATGGTCCCTTCCTTACCTCCAGGGGGGGTCGGCTGCGCCCCCGCCTTCATCTCAGGCGGGACATGCAGATTCGGCTAACCTCGCTTTGCTCGCCAAGGACGGGGCCTACGCCGAAGAACTCATAAATTTATGCTTGCTGAGCTGTCAATAAATGTATACTGCTTTTCAATTTATCTCCCGAGTCTTTCTGGTAGAAGTGCATATTTGTTGCACGTTAATGTTTTTTTTTTCCTTTTTTTTTTGAAAACCCACAGAAAAAAAATGTGTGCAACCCTTCCAACACCTGTTTATTTTTTCCTTTGATTTGTCTGCTATGTAGTCTCATTCATTTCTTTGCTAGATTTTCTCATGTCTGCTCATGCAACATGACATCATGACTTTTGCGTAAACATACACACCACTTTCAAGTCAAGTGGCATATTATCTATATGCATTTTGAGCAATCTGCATGTATGCGTGTATGTCTACACGCATACTACGTCGTTAAATGTCCGAGAGATTTATCCGCGTGTATGTACACTCTCAGAAAAAAAGGTACGAAAGCTGTCAATGGGGCGCAGTACCTTTTCAAAAGGTAGACTTTTGTACCTAAAGGGTGCATATTGGTACCTTCATGGTACATATTTGTACAATTATGGTACCAATATGCTCCCTTTAGGTACAAAAGTGTACCTTTTTGAAAAGGTACCGCCCCAGTGACAGCTTTTGTACCTTTTTTTCTGACAGTGTACACGCCGTTAAATGTCCAAAATGTAGATCTACATCTGGGGAGCAATATTTTTTTTTTTTCGTAGGATGGTAGGGGATGACTCATAAATGTTATTAACCCCATAAGGACGTGGTTAGGGTAGGTCATATATTTATATACAGTAATGTATGTTAAAGTATGTTCATTATGTCCTCAGTTGTATGCTGTGTAATATAATGCAATGCTATACTGTTCAGTGTTGTGCATATGTTTATGCCACAAGAGGGCACTAAAGTATAGGCTATGGAGGATGCGTTTGTATTATTATTATGTTTGTCCAAGTTGATTTACCGTAGTTAAGAGGATCATATTACTGAGAGAATCTTCATTACTCTCTGTGCTGTTCGACCGTGAGACTGATGTGTCAACAGCTGAAATAAATATGCCAAGAACGGCTAAAGATAACTCATCTCTATCGTCCACTCTTTTCTTTTGAATGCAACGCAAGCTGAAACATTACTCAACAATGTAACGTTCATAAAAAACGCTGAAAGGCGATTATGCGTGTTGATAGCACGCCAAAAATGGAAATATGAATTGGCATGTCATACATGCCATTTCATGAGATCAGTCTGGCTCATGCTAGTTAATGTTCGTCAGTAGTCACTCCCTGTATCATGTCATGTGAAGCTCAGATTTGCTTTGTTCTCTGCCAAGTTTACCTGTGCCTGCAGTGCCACCCTCTCGTCCCGGATTGTCTACCTAGTTTCGGACTCGTGCCTGCCTACTGGTTACTGGGCTTGCATCTCTCCTCTGAATTTGTTGCTGTTTCCTGGACTGATTCCAATTACCAACCTTTCTCGCCTGGCTTTCAACTATGCTCTCCTGTCTGCCATGTACACAGAATCCGATTTTATCTGCCTTTGCGTTTTATGTTTTATTTATTATACTTAAAATAAATGAGTAAATTGTTGTGTGTATAAATATATATAAATAAGAAGAATTCAGATGCAAAAGCCCCTAAGTGCCATTTGAAATTTTCTTCTAGAATGATCATTTTTATCAAGCTTGTATATTTCAGGTCAGTAATTTCACTTAAATGACAATGAAGATTACCTATTAATTGCCATTTAAGTGAATTTACTGAACTTAAATGTACAAGTTTGATAAAAATGATCATTCTAGAAGAAAATTTCAGATGGCACTTAGAGGCTTTTGCATCTGAACTCTTCATATATATATATATATAGAAGTTTTAGAACATCGTCTCGCAGTTGCTGAATGTCGCGTAACAACATTGCTACAGCCCTGTTGCATCTTACAATTCTACGTTTGGTACAATGTTGCGAGCATGTAGATAGCGACGTTGCCAAAATAGAAATGTAACATGCCACAGACATTGCCACAACGTAAATGTGTTTGCTGGGTATGCACACACCTCGTCAAAGCTCATTGTCAGGTCTCCTTTTCATGAAGTGGACTCTTACCATATTTCTCCAACATTACCTCTAGTGATTTTTCCAGCATTTCTCCTGTGATTCCTATCCACCATCTTTCCATTCCTCCTTCCCTCGGTTTATGTCAATCAGGTCTGAATTGTGTTCCCTTTTGTCCTGGGAACTCCAACGTGTCGAGCCGCCTACCAGTTTCTTTTTTATTTTCTCTCCTTTCTAAAATAGCATCACGGTGTGTTCACGTCCTTTTCAGGATGTCATCTCACCCGTGCGTTTTTGGATGCGGTCGATTTCTCCCTTAGGATGATGGCCACAAACACTGCCTCTCATGTCTGGGCTTAGCACACACTGAGGCAGCGTTTGTGGATGAGTCGTGTTCTCATTGTGGAATTATGACTCTGGCGATGCTACGTTCAAGACTGAGAACCCTGAAACATGGGGCGCTTCGGGTGGAGCGGCTGGAGCGGCACCTGAGGATCAGATGCCCATTGCGGCATCGGAAGAAGAGGGCTCATCTGGTGATGACTCGGCTCGGGTGTGGTAGCCTCAG